GAGGTAGCCGGCTCGGCACGAGCACGCCGCGCGCTCTCCCACTACGTGACATTCGCTGTTTGGACCGCACGGCGACGGTAGGCACGGATTTATTGGTGCTGCTGCAAAATTACAATAAAGTGTTTTATAAAAATCCTTACCTACCTTTACATAGATAACTTTTATTTTTATTATTTGTTGTTTTATTCAGTTACCATAATAATTGTTATTAAAAAAGCTAGTACTTACGTGTCTTAGCAATTTGGCGACATGATGAAAATGGATCGCCTTCATATCCCTTAAAGCATGTACACACTGGAACATGGTTTGTGACAGAACACTCTGTGTTGACTCCGCATAAATCCTTACAAGGATCTCGACAATGGTTTGACAAACATGCCAGATTATTTGGACAATCTGAATTCATAGAACACTCCGGTCGACATCCGCCCGCGTAAGGATTTCCAATATTAGGTGGTATACAAGAGCATCGGGCTGTATTTCCGACCACTGTGCATAAAGTGTTCTCTCCACAAGGCGAAGGATTGCATGGAGTTACATCTTCTTTTGGTACGGTTACACATCCAATAAAGGCGTCTCCCTTGAAACCTTCCAAGCAACTACATAGTGGTGTATGATTTACAACATCACATTTAGCATTACTACCGCATGCATTTTTGCATGGATCCACACATTTTTCATTAATACAAGCTTGGTTCGAAGGACACTCCTGGCTAATTATGCATTCTGGTCTACAGTATGGCGGAGTGCCAGAATAGTTGGGCTGGCATGAACATACTGGATGATTGGATTTTATCTCACAAACAGAGTTGGGTCCACAAGGTGAAGGCAAGCAAGGGTTATCTCCTGGAGGTGGTTTTGTTGGTGTTTTACCTTCATTTATTTCACCACATGCTAGGAACGGATCTCCAGTTTTTCCTGTGTCGCAAGTGCATAGTGGATTATGGTTGACTACAAAGCAAGTGGCACCTACACCACAGCTACCTTGACAAGGATTTATACATTTTTGATTAACACAGGTCAATTCTTGTGAACAATCGGAATTGCCAACGCACTCAGGCTGACACATAGGCGGCATTCCGACGTGACCAGGCAAACATGAACACACCGCGGAACCAGTTGGCGATACAAGACAACGGCTGTATGGACCACAAGGTGAAGGATCACAGACAGATAACGGCGGTGACACAGACACAGGCATTTGACATCTAACATAAGGATCTCCGGTGTGGCCCGGTGCACAGTAACATACGGCATGATGGTTGACAGTATCACATAGTGCGCCTGTGCCACAAACGTCTTTACAAGGTGATTTACATTTGTTATTCAAACATGCCGCGTTTGTTGGACAATCACTATTAATAGTACATTCAGGTCGACAAGACAGATATGGGTTTCCGAAAAAGTTTGGCAAACATTGACACGTGAGAAGTCCATTTACATCTTGACATACGGCGTTATCACCACATCGGATGTGGTCACAGGTTTCATGTACAGTAGCTGTAAAGAAATAATAGCTAATTAATAAATTGAACTTGAATTATTATTTTATTTTTCGGTAATTATGATACTCACGACTAGTAGTTGGTATGCAATGTTCATACGGGTTTCCTCCGAATCCGTCTCTACACCGGCAAACAGGATCGTGATGGTATACAAAACAATCAGCGTTTACGCCGCATGATCCAGGACATGGGTCGACACATTTATTTCTTAAACAAGCCTTGTTAAATTGACAGTCAGAACTGAGGACACATTCTGGTCTACACGCTGGATTACTTAAGTCTTGAGATCCCACACAAGGTACACAGATTGCGACCTGGTCGCCGTAAGGATCACATACTGCATTTGAATCGCAGGGATTTGGTGAACATGGTGTTATTGTAGTATTATCTGGTGAAATAACAATAGCTGAAATAAAAGTTCTGGATTAGAAAATGTAATCGTTTAAATTACAAACTCGTTTGGTTTTTAATGGTGCACTTACGGCGATAGACGCATTGAATCTTCGGATCACCGATGTATCCATCAGGACAAACACATGATACAGTGTGGTCTGTACATACACATGATGCGTTCATGCCGCAAACATTTTTGAAAGAGCATGGGTCGACGCATCTTTGATTAAGACACGCCTCATTTGACGGACAATCAGAATTCATTAAGCATTCAGGTTTGCATTCGACAATTGGATCACCGATCAAATCGGGAAGACACGAACATAAAGCTTTATCTCCGACGTTTTGGCAGATAGCATTTAATCCACACTGTGCTCTGTCACAAGGTTGGAACGACTTTTGATCTTCGGGTGGCAAACAACATAATAATGGATTCCCAATAAGACCTTCTTCGCAAATACAAACGGGACGGTGTGTTTCTACATGACATTTAGCATTAAGTCCACATACGCCAGGGCATGGGTCGCGACAAGAGAAGCCAATACACGCTTTATTAGGCGCACATTCGTCGTCGACCTCACATTCAAGTGAAATGCAGCCATCCAAACCATAGGGATTTCCTGTACTACCCGGGGCGCATGTACATAGAGCCTGGCCATCATAGTTAATGCTGCAAATTCCACGAGGGCCACAAGGGTTCGGTATGCATTGACTTCTCTGAGGCTCGCAGCCGATGTACGGATCTCCAGTATAACCAGTTTTACAGAAACACATTTCTCGATTTGCAGCAACGTAGCATTCGGCGTTTTGTCCACAAGGTCCGGGTTGACAAAGAATATTCGAATGAATATAAGGATTACATGATTTGTATGGATTGCCTACTGTATTTTCAGGACAATAACAAACGGGAGCTCTGTTTGGATCGCATCGTGCCCCTTCGCCACACATGTTCGGTTCGCACGGATTTCTCGCTTCGATACATCCTCTAACTGTGTTTGGACTTTCGACATATCCTGGTAAACATGTGCATTTAGAGAATCCATTCGTTAGAACCGTACATTGCGTGTTAGGCCCACAAGGTGACGGATTGCAAGGGTTTTGTGGGAGTTTACACGGTTGTCGCGGTGGATTGCCCTCGTAATTAGGTAAACAGAAGCAGGCTGGTTTGCTGTCTATAAGCCGACATCCGGTGTTAGGGCCGCAAGGATTAGGCTCACATTCATTTCCTTCAGGTACTGCAATAAATTAAACACAATTTTTATTTGTTTAAAATTGACAATCAAGTACTACGCAATAATTAATAAATGAGATAAAACTTACTGCAATTTTTGAAAGGATTACCGGTCAATCCTTTTGGACAGAAACATATAGGATTGCCATTGTCGCTTTCACATAATGCATTTATACCACAAGGGTTAGGTATGCAAGGATTCAATGGTGGTTCACAACCTAAAACTGGATTACCAGTGTATCCCGGTAAGCATTTGCAAGATGCACGATGATTCAAGACGTCACACACAGCGTTTACACCACATTTACAAGGAGAACCACAGTTTCCGTTGATACACGCTTCCGAGTTCAGGCATTCGTTATCAGATCGACATCCTTGTACTGGAATGTAATAAGAAAATAATTATGCGAACTAAATATTTTAATAAAAGTAAAAAAAAATGTATGTATAACTCAATTTAGTGACCTTTGTAGCATTCTAAAAAGGGGTTTCCTGTGTAGCCGGCTCCACATCTGCACTGTACGCCGTGGTTTTCCGGGATACATTCAGCATTGTCACCGCATTTGTTCATAGCGCAGGGGTTTATGCAGACTCTATTCATTCTATCGCAAAGCAATTCTGGAGGGCAGTCTTCATTGTACTGACACACTGATTGAGAATGGTTACGTACTAAGAAAAAAATAAAGTTATTAGTTTTTTTTGTGAAGTCAGACATGAGAAAAATATAAAAAAGTATCAGTTACGTACCTGGTGCACATCCAACGTAGCCGTTGCCCTGGAATCCTTCAATGCAGCTGCAATCGGAGCCGTGGTTGGTGTTTATACAGACTGCGTTAGGTGCACAGGGATTATGTATAGCACACGGGTGTTGACATGCGTTATTTATACAGGCCTCGGTCAAAGAACAGTCTTCATTGCGAGTGCAACCAACTGTGCGGAAAGAATAGTAATTATATGTTACATATCGGTAAAAAAAAGTGGAAAAAAAATCTGGGATCAAAACGGTCTGAAAACATAAAGTTCATAGCAATCTGCCCACTGTTAGAAAGTGGACGCCGATAACCATATTGTGAATTATATTTAATCCCGCTGTAAATGTATGTTACTATAAAATTTACATTTACTATTTCAGTAATTGCTAAGTCAAATAAATTAGTGAATTTAATTTATTTAACTGTTACGTCATCAATCCTGACTTCCAGTTTCTTGAGATTTAATGTTAATCGGACTCTATAAGATTTTAAATGCATTTGTATTCGGTTGGTTTATTGTTTACTGTAATGTGGTCTCTTTAATAATGTCCTAATGGACAGAAACACAAAAAAAAATAATTTAAAATCTATATGAATAAATAAACATCTCTGATTTGTTCCAGAATGAAAGGTGAATAGAACAAATTATGTTACAAGTTATTCAATATTTTAGTCAGCTATTATGATTAGTAACTTATATGAAATTAGTCAAATTAGCTTACATATTTTAGGCGAACATTTAACAGATGGATCTCCTTCGAATCCGGATGGACAAGAACACATCGGCCTCTGTTTTACTGGTTGACAGTTAGCACCGACGCCACATTTGTCAAATTCACAAGGATTTTGGCACCATCCCATAAAACAGGCTTCTGTTTCTATACAGTCACGATCGGAATGACATGGCTCCGGTGTTTTTGGTGTCCCCGGTGGTGCTATTATTTTACACGTTATTAGTAATTAGTGTGTTACGTAACGATGGAAGCAGAATTATTACTTAAGTATTTATGTATTTACAAAAAGGTATTAAAATTAATGAAATATCTGTACAACTTTTTACACATTTGTCCGATAAAACTGCCGCAATACTTATTCTTAAAAACAAATTGACTATACAGACTATCGACAGGCTTTTTGAATACAGGTTGTCATTTTCTACACGGTATGCAAAATAATTTACATTAAAGCATACCTCTGGCACAGAAGTCTCCAGCGGCTTCATCGCATATACAAACAGCTGCGTGGTTGACAACTTTACAGGCAGAGTTCACTGTACACGGTCTCGGCGTCACCTCACACGGGTTTTGACATACTCCGTTCAAGCACATTTCGTGCGTCATACATTGTGTGTTTAGTTTACATTGGGTGTTAGATGTTAAGTCAGTCGTGTCGAAAATAATAGTTGTTTCTGTAGAAGTTTGTTCACTATACATTGTTGAGTCAGTCCAAGCGGGTATATCTAAGTCTTTCCTACGGGATGACAAATTTTCAATTGAAGTATTTATATCGACAGATAGAGTGGAAGGATATTCATGTAATAATCGCGTTATGGAAGAATCTGATGTAGTTAGAGGCGTTTCTGTTGTTGTTTGGTGTAATAATGATTCTGATTGAGATTTTAAGGTTGTGGTATGAATTGTTCCTTCTGTTGAAGATTCGAGTTCTAATGTTGTACTTGGTGGTTCCGATGTTGTCATTACAAGTTCCGATGTTGTACGTGGTTGTTCCGTTATTGCAGTTGCGAGTTCCAATGTTGTACGTAGTTGTTCAGATGTCATCGTCACGTATTCCGGTATTGTACTTGGTTGTTTCGATGTCGCCGTTGCAAGTTCCGATGTTGTATGTGGTTGTTCCGATATTGCCGTTGCGAATTCCAATGTTGTACGTGGTTGTCCTGATGTTATCAGCATGTGTTCGGTTATTGTACTTGGTGGTTTCGATGTTGCTGACGCATGTTCTGATATTGTGCTTGTTTGATCCGATGTTGCCGTTCCAAGTTCCGATGTTATACTTGGTTGTTCGGGCATTGTACTTGGTTGTTCGGATGTTGCTGTCGCGAATTCTGATATTGTACTTAGCTGGCCCAACGTTACCTCTGCGAGTTCTGGTATTGTATTTGATAATTCTAGTTTCGGCAGATCTGATGTTATAGACTGTATTTCCGGTGTTGTATTCGGAAGTATTGATATAGGAACTGGAAGTTCAGATGTTGTATTTACTAGTTGTGATATCGTATTCAGCAGACCTAATGTAGTAGTTTGAGCTTCTGATGTTGTATGTGAAGGTTCTAAAGTTGGCGTCGTCAGTTCCGGTGTTATACTCGGTAACGTTGGTGATGTCGGCGGTTTTTCCGATAACGTGACATTTAACAGATTTAATGTTGTAATTGGCATTTCTGAAGTTGAAGGTAAATTTTCCGATATTGTATTTGACACTTCTGTTTTCGATAAGCCCGTGGCTGTAACTTGATTTGCAATCGTAATAGCCAAAGGTTCCGAAGTCACAGTTAACATTTCCATTGTTGTATATGATACTTCTGATGTTGCTGGTGAAAATTCTGTTATTGTATTTGCCAGATCAGGTGGCACAGTTGTCGATTGGGATTTAGGGGGCATATACGATGTTTCGGTTAGACGTTGTTCAGTTGTTGTAGTTGTCAAGTCAAAAGATGTAGGATCATATTCACCGCGTTTTGTAGTTGCTATATTGTTTAATGTTGTGTCTCTAGCGGTTAGTTGAACAAAATTGTGACCCGTAGTTAAATAATTGTCTGTTGTTAAATCTGTATTTTCGTCTGACCTATCAGATGTAACTTTGCTGACAGTATTTCCGGCTGTTTGAGAATATACCGTAGGAGTAGTGTGCCTTATTTTACTAAGATCCTTTTCTGTGGCTAATGTAGCTACATTTTCAACAGTAGATTCGAAACTCATTCCGGTATGTTTCGATTTTTCAACATTGTTTACATCGTATACAAAAGTACTCAAGTTTATTGTAGACGGCGTATCGGTAACGTCTTCTGTTTTTGTTTTGAATGTTACTGTATTTTCAAAATACAAATAGTTTTCGGTCGATAAAGGCCTATTATAATGTGTAGTATCTTTTAATGTAGTTGTGTCATAGAAAGTTGGTTCTGTTGTCGATACATATTGATCATTTTTTTTATTTGGCTCCTCATTGTCGGTACGTGTAGACATTTCATTAAAGTTTAATTTGTTTTCGCTTTGTGGCAACTGCGTAGTGTCTTTTACGTGTGTATTTTTATCGTTAGTTATGACAGTTGTAGATACAATGTTTGATTTTTCTGTTAATATTTCATGTGAAGTAGTTTCGGTTTGATATTCTGGTGATATAGGAAAAGTGGATCCTGCGAATGAATAATCGACGTATTTGTTAGTAGTCGGTGTGTTGTCATTTCTTATTGTAATTTGTGTTGCGACCACCATTGAACTTGGCGTCAAATGTGGAGATGATTCTGTTTCCATTGCATTATCCGTAGTGGATTTAAATTGATTTTCTAGTGGTGTTGCAGTAGTATCCTCTAGCAATAAAGTAATTTTCGCTTTCCCTTCAGGTGACGTCTGATTTAATTTATTACTATTCGGAGTAACAAACATACTTGTTGTTCTATTTTCTAACAAATTACTAATAGTTGATATCTCTATGACTTTTAATTGTTCAATGTCAGTTACAGTATTCGTAGTTTCGTCATATCTATTTGATGTCCATTTATTCTCTATATCTGTCATCGTTGCCGATGGTGTAGATTGATAATCAATTATATGTCTGTTTGTACTACCCGTCAATATGCCGTTGGTCGATGTGCTTGATAAATCTTCGTATGACGAAGTGGATGTTTCCGTTAATTCTGCAGTAAATGTGGTTTTATCCGTTGTAGATAAATCAACAGTAGTCAGATAAATGTCCTTTTTAGTTTCTTGTAAAGAAATCGTAGGCACATTTTTATCTGTTTTAGCAATACTTGAATCTGTAATTGTTAAAAAGCCACTAAGAGAAGTTGAATTTGTTCTTGTTTCATTTACTTTATCATCTTGAAGTCTATTTAAATCTGAAGTTGTAATGGGTGTAGGGGCTTCTGTACTAAAATATGTTTTATTAAATTCTGAACTTGTAGTGTACGCATTCAGCAAATCACTTTCATAATTTCTATCCGTTGTTACAAACTGATTGTCTGTAAAAGATGTAGATTGAGTGGAACTAGCTGATGTTACAATTTCGTTTATTGTTTCCAGCGAATTGCTAACATATTCAGACTCATTGGAAGTAGTTGTTGTTGTTTCATCCGATTTTGTACTTTTTTCATACATTTCTCTATTTGATGAATCAATAGTAGTTGACGTTAATGGTGTTTCTTCGGTATTTTTGTCAAAAACATTTTGTGTTTGCAGAAATATACCAGTCGTAGTCTCAGAAGTAACATATGACGACATATGAGTGATATCCTCTGTTTCAAATGTTTGTGATGTCGTTTCGGGTTTTTCCTCAATTTTTAATTTGTGTGTCGTTGTTTCTCCTTCTGTTGAAACTGTTTTTGATAAAGGTTCCAAAGGTGATATTGAAGACGATGTTTCGGTAGTAAGAGTAACGTAATCAAAAACTGAGATTGTACCTTTACTTGACGATGTAAATGTTTTCTCAAATTCGTCATAAGGTTTCTTAACATTATATTGCTCTTCAGCGGATCTCTCTGTTGTCACTACATTTTCTCTTGTACTGATAGTACTATCTAAGGTATATAAATCACCATTTGTAGGAGCGACTGTTGTTTCTTTTCTATTTATTGTATCTGCGTGAAGTGTAGGCGTGGGAGTTGTAGAGTAAATTATATTTTCTTGCATTGTTTCTTGTTTTGAAGTGCTAGTGGGGATATCTGAGATATCTGTATGTGTATTAAATTTATATTCATTTGTTATTTTATCAGTACGTTGATAGTATGTTGTAGTTTTAGTAGAAAATTCAGTACTCACTGATTCGCTACTTTTTTTATCTAATAATGGGTAAGGCGTTGTATCCATCCAATCATCCTTAGATACACTTTTCTCATATTCATTAATCGTATTCACGTTAAAATTTAGGCTATCAGTTACATGCTCAGTGTAATCAACTGGAGTTTCCGATGGAACTGTTTTAAATTGTTCGGTTTCATAAGCTTCATTACTAGTTGAAGTTATCGTTTCTGTAGACGATTCCATGACTGGTGTAGTTCTTTCAGTAATGTCATATATGGTTTCCGTATAATTTACTTCGTTTTTATCTTTCTCCTTGCTATATTTATTCGTATAATCGTAATAACGATTATCTAATGTAAATTCATCTTTGTTAGTGACCGCATTATCAATTGCCAAAGTAGTAAGATAACTATCGATATTCTTATTCTGTATATTTTCATTACCATTTGGCATAGGAGTTAATTTCTCGGTAGTTGTTGCTATGGTACTTTCTTCTTTATTTACATGATTGAACGTAGTTTCTTTAATATACGCTGTTGATATTGTTGGTTTCAATGTGTATACATGTGTCGTTGTTTCCATACTTTTATCTTGCAAATCAACATTTTGCGAAGTCGTTAAAGTAAAATAGTGTGTCGAAGTAAATTCTTCATGGTCATCAATAGTGTTTTTGAAAGTCTGTATAGTTTCAGCAGATACATCTTCACTTTCAGTTACAGGTATAGTAATTTTTTTTGTAGTTTCGGAATAATTTATGTTTGATCCCGTAAACTTTTTGTCGGTATCTATAAATGTATCAGTACTCATTGGAAATTCAATAAATGTAGTTTGTGTTGGAGTTTCCGTTACAAGATTGTCAAAGGTCGTACTTTCCGAAGATGTGTATACATTATCTTTCAGGAATAATGTCGATTTATTTTCGTCGTTGGGCGCTATAGTTGTTGTGGTTACAGATTCGTAAGGTTTCTGGGAAGTAACTGTCTCACTGTCCTTAGTATTGATTGTATTTGGAGAAGTGGTTTCCAAAACATCTAAGGATTTAGTATTGTTTGGTAAATCTGTCAGTGTTGTTTTAATGTATTCTGATTTTATCACTTGTTCTGTTGTACTTTTAAGGATAGGATCAGAACTACTTGTAAATTTACCTGTATATGTTGGCGTTACTTCACTATAACTTGTTGAAATAATGGGTTTTTGCGTAGTTCCTTTTTTATCTTTTAATTCTACAGGTACAGAGTCAACCGTATAGTTGTTATTTAACTTCCTTTGATTTTCAGGTGTTTTATGCTTTTCACCAGCTTGTTTTCGTGTACCATTTGTTTCCGTGCGCAAAGAAATTGGTTTAACTGTACTCTCGGAATGAATTGTACTACTACTTTGTACAAGTTCGTCTGAATCTAAGGTTGATTGATACTTATTGTTATATTCGGTATAGGAGGAAACTGTCGGTGTGGTAACTTCTATATCATTAATTACTGTATCATTTAAATTAGTTATCAGTGACTCGGTTGTTAACTTACTTTGTTTTTCACTATCAGTATTAGAAATCGTCTGTGAGTCTTGTTCATAAGCAATTGTGGGATTAGTTGTTTCGCTAAATAATTCTTTTGTGACTTCATCGTGCTCTGTTGTATGAATGTTGTAATCATATGTTGAACTGTCGTTTTCCGTTGTTGGAATCGATATATTTTGTTCTGTGTCTTTGAATTGTGTATTTATTGTTTTCGTTTTTTCACTAATATTACTTAAAGTATAAGTGCCAAATGTAGTTCTTAGCGTGGATACGTCAATATTTTCATCGGTATGTATAGATTGTGACGAGGTGCCGATAACGTTGGTGTTCACTTCGGTAGTTACATCTCCAGTATCAATAGAATATTCAAAGGTTTGTGAAGTACTAGAGTCCGTTATTGATAGATTGTCGTCTGTCGTGGTTTCCCTATTATTTACAGAGTCATGGTCATAATATGTCACTACAGTATTTTGTATTGGTCCAACTGTTGTATCTGTCAGTGTAGAATCAGTGGTAGTAATGTCGGAGTATGTTAGTGGGACATTTTTAGGACGATCATCTGTTAATAGGAACGTAATAATAAACATGTTAATAAAATATACAAAAATTAATTTGAATTAAAATATTTCAATTAAGAAATTGAAATAGACTCATTAATTGTAATAATTTGAGATAAAAAGTTAAATCAGAATTAACATTTAATTCTTCAATCCAAGCTCAAGAAATAGAAGGAGAATAAGACTAAGGTAGAAAAAGAAGAATAGTGATAACAGTTTTTTAAGTTTCTTGATAGATTAACAAGGATACATATCTATTTCGTAAATATGTCTGGTATTTGGTTAGTTATGAAGCAGGGTATTTGTTAGCCTACAATAACAATCTTTTACCCTAAAAACACATAACGACTTATAAAACCTAAACCAAGAAGTATTTCTACAGCAGATATCGAAACAGTTGGTCAACTTTAAGTCTAACATGGCATCTACTACAAAGACTATGTTGTCTGTCGGGTCAGCCGTGATAGTTTGCCAGTATTTTGTGGCGTTTTATCGGACAAAATGGTACGTTAAAATGTGTAGCAATGACCAGTTCATCTGGAGTTAGTTTTGCCATTCACAGAGTAGTAAAGAGTAAATGCAGACATACTAGTTTTATAATAGAAGTCTGCGAATATAAATGTCTCATCGGGTAAATACACCGAAGTTCGGACAAAGTTTTGCCAGAATGAACTAACATATAGCTAAGTCACAGAAGGCATCAGCATAAAAAATACATTTAAAAAGAATAATTGAATATAGATATTATGTACTCACTTTCCATGCAAGCTCCAGAGAATGGGTCGCAAGGGACCCCTGGCCGACAGTGCGCGCAGTTCGTAGTTGGTGTATCTAGATAAAATAAATAAAGAATAGTTAAGTATTGTTATCTCGTCATATAAGATCCTACTGAGGAACTTGTTCACCAACTTGAATCTGAAGTGAATCTGATGGATTTTAATAAATATTTTAACATAATAAATTTATACTCATACCTGTAACGCACACGCACCCATCACAACGCGTATTTGGATATCTTGCGCAATCTGATGCTGTCTGGCATTGGCAAACTGCAATGAAAACAGAATGAAAAATTGTACCCAAAATAACACTAATAGAATAAAAAATAAATGGAAATTATACTTTTTATGTCATATCATATCTAAATATTCAAGCAATTTTAATTTCAAGTAATAAATTGATACAGCGGCTGTACTATATTGCATTTTAGTATTATTTTTCAATAGCGACTACTACAATTTGCCGTTAGGTAGAGTTCCTACATTGTAGAACTGGCCAAAACTGTCAGAGTTCAATGAACCCTGTCCCCTGGACATGGCAGGGTCAGTGGTCTTATGTAGGTGGCATAAAGTTTCCATTTATTAAAGATGGACTATTGACTGGATTGATAACAAGTAATTAAGAAATATAAAGACGTACCCTTTGAGCAAACAGGTTGATGGTTGACGACGGCACAGCGCTGGCCAGAGACGCAGGGGTTACCGTGGGCGCATGGGTCCGCGCATCGGCCGCTCACGCAAGCAAGTCCCTCTGCGCAGTGCTCGTGTGCACCGCATTCTAAAGCTGTGCACATTTAATTAGTCAATGCACTAAATACTTTACATAAGTCTAAAGAAAGGTTAGATTGGTTGAAATGTAATCACAATAACTGGTATATTTAAAACATTTTAAAGAAACTCTTAACATCAATATTAAATGAGATAAATTACTTTGGAAACATTAAAAATTCAATATTGCAAATTTATTAAAACATTCACTAAACTTCTAGTATATAGAAATATATAAGTTTAGGTACGAGATAAACACAAAATACAAACTACGGATATATAACAGGTTTATAAAACAAACAACATAAAATAAACACACGCAGCATACGTATATAGGTATATATAACAAAAACACAAAAGGCATCAAATTCTATAGTTGCAAACTCTGTCTCGTGGCAGTTTTGTTGCAATTCATATCATGCCAGAGTTTGAAAGCGTTAGAATAAAGTGCCCAAGCGCGTCCGCCACCCTAATGTGAAAGTTACTTTTTAAATGAATAATATTTACACACATAATAATAACATGCATCAAAATCTACCTGATATAGAGGAGGTTCATACTGTGGAAAAGAAATATAACATGCTAGAAACACAAGAAACAGATAGAAAGAGCCGCATGAAGTAGGAATGATCTATATTTCCTGCAATATGAAGAAAAATATTAAGACTTATTCAAGACGAAAAGTACTAATAGAATTTCTATGAATATGAAACATTTTGCTAGCGGCAATATTACCTTTAATGCAGCCATGCTTTTCGTCGTGAGTAAATCCACTAGGACAAAACTTGCAAACTGGGTGATGATCTTCTACTGAACATGGAGCATCACCACATGCACCTTTGCATGGATCTTTACATTGAAAATCAATGCAAGCCAAGTTCTGTGGACACCCATTGTCTCTTAAGCAAATCGACACTGTTGGATGACATTCTTCGACACAGACGCACATAACTCGATGTTCTACTACTTCGCACTGTTTTCCTTGAGGACACATTGGTTCTCGTGAAGCTAAACATGGATTTACGCATTTGGTATTGCGACAAACAGAATTGGATGGACATTGTTCGTCTCTGGTACATTCAGCGTGTTCGGGTGCACATGTAAGTTCTCCTTTATCATTCAGGGCAAAGCCATTGCGGCATACGCAAACTGGCAGGTGGTTTCTAACTTCACATTTTTGATTTGGTCTACAGTCCTGATATTCCAAGCAAGGATTGCGGCATTGGTTTGTATTTGTATCGCATGCCAATTTTTGTGGACATGGTTTCGTTTCTGAACAAGTGATAGTCGCGTTTAGGCTATCGGCTGTCGGCTTGCAAGTGGGGTCGAGACGGCACGCGAGGCGCGGTTGCCCGACGTAGCATTGAGGACATGAACACTGGGCTCGATGCATCACAGACACGCAGAGCGCGTCTTCACCACACACGCCTCGTATTGTGCAGGGGTCGACACAGTGCAAGCTCAAACACGCTTTGTCTACCGGGCAATCCTTGTCACTCGTGCATTCGATACCTAGGAAGATGTGAAAGAAGAAAGCAAAGTCGAGAGAGCTGTACCTTCAGCCACGAAGAGGAAACTTTCTCACGAGACAGTGCATGCTTTTTGAAACTGATAGTTTATGATCAGAGATATATAACGGAATATTATAATACAAGCGATATGTACATGAAGCCGAACAAAATGTTACTGACTGTATTCAAGCACGAACGGTGAGAATGCTTCCACTAACATCAATCACAATTATTTACCAGGTGTAAAGTACTGGTATTTAAAGATTCCGACATCTTTGAATATCAAAGTAGTACAATACGCTTTATTTAAATGGAGTTCAGATAAATAGAATAACAAGTTTCATATAAAAGAGTAAAATGGCACTAGTTATTCAAAATCATTAAACAAGACTGCGTGTACTTTCTCATATATCTATCCCTCACCAATACCAATTTACATTTACAAAACTGTTACAGTAAACACATTCAAGTTTAAAGCGTAAAAAAATTTCAATATGTAATAATTCTGGTCACTGAATGATTCTTATCAAAAGTTTTTATTGAATAAATCTTTTGTCGTGCATTTTTACAAGTGGCGAGAGGGTTATGATACAATAGCTTTTAACTTACTGGTGTGACATTCGATGTCAGCTTGTCCTTCCGTGCCGGGAATGCAACGACAAACAAATTCAGCACCTTCTCTTAAACACTCTCCGTTTATGCCACATCCTGTTGTTCTACAATCAACTACGCTGCGTTCCTGAATACCTGAAAAATTATGTAAGCTTTCATTAAAAAAGTCTGAATTTGTATGTCTTATATTGTACTGTCTGCCTCCTGAAACAAAGTTGTTTTAATTAGTTCAGGAGACAGAGCCCCAATGGATTTTGTTAAAATGTTTTTTTTTTGTCCAATAAAGGGTTTTTTTAATTTTTTTACTGTAAATTAACAACTTACATTCTATATTTGGATCTCCTTTCGGATAATTACGTGGACAATAGCAATGAGGTTGTCCGTTATAACCTATTCGACACTCAGCATGAGCGCCGCAAATTTTACGTGCGCACGGCGCCATAGTTCCACAGAAACATTGTCGCTGCGGGTTGCCGGCACAGCCCGGAGGGCAAGTGCACTCGTAGCCGCCGTCATCCAAATCGCGACACCGCGCGTCAACTCCACACGGGTTACGTAAACAGCTACCCGCTGGTGGCTTAGAGCATTCTATTTTTGGATTTCCTACATAATTTGGAGGACAGGAACACTGAGGTGTTTTATTGACTGAACGACAGATAGCATTTACCCCACAGGTGCCGAAGCACACGTTCTTGCATTTTCCTTCCGAGGTGCACTGTTCGTCTGCACCGCAATCAGTGTTCTTTAAACATTCATATGATTTGCACTCTTTTGATGGATCTCCCGAGTATCCACTGGCACAACTACAAATTGCTCTATGTCGTGCCGCTATGCACTGTGCGTTTTTGCCACAGGAATCTTTCCGACAGACTGGAATACATTGTTTCATAGAACATAACATATCATCACCACAATCTCGATCGTTATTACATCCCGGTATACAGACACCTTGTAGGCATATCTGTCTTTCTGGACACCTGTTTCTGATAGAACATACGGATCTACATCCGCCTTTGAAACATTTTTCACTGCAAGTGCAATCAGAATTTTCTTCACAAAGTGAAATACAATATCCACTATCATCACAAGGACAAAATCCGTCACATGGTATTTTTTTCTTTTTGCATTCAACTAATGGATTTCCCGTAAAATTACTTGAGCAGCTACACTGTGCTCGATGATTGATAACCTTGCATTCAGCACAAATACCACAACTTCTGGTGTCCTTACAAGGATCTGAAAAAAAGTTCAAAACATGTATTGTAGAAAAAGCAATAGAAAAATGTATATGGAATAAAAACAGATAGCTGTAAACTTACCTTTACATTGTCCGCCTATACAAGCCTCATTATCATTACAGGCATTTTCATCGCGACAACCTTGCTTACATATTCTGTTCTCACAAATATGACCATCATTGCATCCGCCATCACTATTGCACACAACCCTGCAAATTCCTCTGATGCATTTTTCGTTTGATAAACAAACACCGTCACTGAAATAAAATGAAATTAGTCATATAGTGCTTTGTGAACCGTTTTATTATTAGATTATATTACATCATAATACCAATAATTATATCTAATTATTGTAATATTACATTCTAACCTTCTACAGGAGGGATGACAGGTATCTCCATAACAAGTAAGTCCGTTTGGACAGTTTTTATTAGAATCACATGGTAGGCTTAATCTTTTGCACACTGCTTTTGGATCTCCTGTTAATGTCTTAGGACATGAGCAAGTAGGTTTGTGCTCTTTTGTTACACATAAGGCATTTGCACCGCACGTACCAGGCTCAGTACACGGATCTAGGCATTGACCTGATATACAGGCGAGGTTACTGGAACATTGAGAATTAGATCTGCATCCTAATACACATAATCGCCCATCACAAATTTCATCATTGGTACAGTGTTCATCTGATGTACAAGCGTATCTACACACTCCTGAATCACATCGTTCCCCTTGTAAACACTCTGAGCCATCAACTGTGCACGCCGGTCTACAACGATCATCCTCGCAACGCCATCCTGCACTGCAATCTTTATGCATACGACAAGTCACCGAAGGAGTTCTAACACAACCGATGTTAGGTGTCGGGTTTGGAATTAGTCCATCTATACAAGCACAAGAAGCTTTTCTATCCACAACAGAGCATAATGCATTCGGACCACAGGGATTGTTGTCATCTGCACAAGGATTCTGGCAATAGTTATTCTTGCATATTTCTTCAGGGCCACAATCTTCATCATGTCTGCAACCGTATTGACAATTGTTTGCCAAACATATATGCCCAAGGAAACAGTCGTTATCCACTCGACAAGTCACTGTTAACAAAAACATACCGTTGGTTCAATATACTTTATGTGCTTAGAACTAGGTTCGAAAAGTCCACAATTGCTTTTCAAATAACATTTTTTTAATAAACAAAGTACTTACATAAGCATACTCCTTTTGAACATCTTTCGTTTAATGCACACTCTTCATCCGCTTGACATCGGGGAACACACATAGAATTGTGACACATAAATCCATTTTCACATTCCTCAGCAGCGCCGCATAATCTAGGCACTAAAAACACTTGGTTTTACATCTATAGTTCAAAAATGTTTCAAAATACCCTTCGATTTAAAACAAAGAAACTACGTACTTCGAACACATTCAACGTCTTGATTTCCGGTAAAGCTATTTGGACAACTACATTGCACTATATGATTGTCGGTTCTGCAAACTGCATTCAGGCCACAAGTTTTCTCCATTTGGCAGGGATTGGAGCATTGTCCGTTTATACATTTTTCGTTGGATCTGCATTCCTCATCTAGTAAACACAGACCTAAAAATAAAGGTATTAGTAGAGCTTACCTTTTTTAATCTTTTTCCCACGACATCGTTCCTTCAATGCCTTTAATTTTTCAACACTTAAAAATTCATGCAATCAAGCAACATTGTGATGAAATTCTTATTCTTCTGAATTAATTATTGAGAAATCTTATTTACCTTTGCAATATCCTTTATGACAGTATTGATCATTGTTGCAATCTGTTTTACTTCTACATGTAACTTCGCGCAGACGGCAACCCTTTTCGCTAGCTCCATTTCCTACATAACCACTTTTACATTTACATTGGCCTGTATGTCTAGTAGCGATACAATCTGAGTTAGGACCACATTTTACACTGTCGCATGCATCTGAAATCCAAGGAAACATAAATATATTAATACAATGCTCCGCGTTTAAAAATACCGTTATGCATATGCAAATCTACAGAAACATTTATTTATATTTAAAAATGCTTCATCTTACCTGTACATTTACGAGTACCATCAATAACGGTACACCGACTTACTGGTGGACAATCCCTGTTGAATCTACACTCCGGAGCCTTACGGCAACCGTCTTCATATGCATTCCCTACTGTTCCAGCGGGACAAATACATTGAGCTTGATTTCTAGTATTTCGACATTCTGCACCGTTACCACATGGGTTTGATGCACACCAGTTTATTTCTGCACAACCCTTCAAAGGATCGCCAGTATATCCAGGTTGACAATAACATGCATGTGTGTGCTTTTCTGAGGAACAAACAGTATTCTCTCCACAATCATTGTGTATCAGACATGCTATTTTGCACATATCTTCATGGCAAATTTTGTCGTCGGAACAATCTGAATTTTTAGTACATTCTCTCTTTTTACATCCTTGAAGCGGATCGCCGAAGAATTCTTTTTGACACGAACATGTTGGTTCGTGGGATTTCCCTAAACATGTAGCATGTCTTCCGCACGGATGATTTTCACATACGTTGACGCACTGTGCAATTCCATTAGTGTTAATAACACATTGTTCGTCTTCGTTACAGTTATCATTGGAAAAGCATTGAATTTCTTTTGAGCATATACTATTAAGACAAAATTGAGATTCTGGACATGTATTATTTGTCGAACAAGTTACTCGACATGTATCTTGAATACATACTTGGCCATCTAAACAATCCCTTGAATTTTTACAAACGCCTGAAATTAGAAAAACCAGGTAAGAAAGACATTTTTATGTTATATTCGTCATTAACCAGGATATGAAAACTTACCAACGCATAAATTGTCAACACATTTTGTGCCAGAAGAACATTTACTATCGTCAGCACAATATTGAAGGGGAACACAACCAAGAACTGGATCTCCTGTGTAACCTGATGAACAAGTACAGTGGCCAATGTGATTTCTTGAATAACAGTCTGCATTCCTACCACATGCACGTGGTATACTACAAGAGTCTTTACATTTGTTGTTAACACATGCTTCTTCAAAAGCACAATCAGCATCCTTTGTACATTCGAACTTAGTACATTTATTATAAGGATCTCCTTGACTATTTGGTTGGCATTCGCAAGTAGGTTGGTGTTTAACAACACTACATATTGTATTATCACCACATGGTGAGTCGTCGCACGGATCTATGCAATGATCTTTGACACATTTAGTTGTGTCCGAGCAATCATCGTCGGATGAACATTCACCAGGTATTTTACAGTTACCATTACTGAGATCTAACACTGTGCCATTTACACAACTGCATGTAAATGAACCTGGATTGTTTTTGCAGTCAGCATTTAGTGGACATGGATTTTTACTACATTCATTAATATCTGTACAAGCACCATTTAACAACTCGAATCCTTTGGGACATAAACACAAATCTTTATGGTTTTCTATTTTACATGTTCCGCCAATACATGCAGGCTCATCGCATTGATCTACAAAATAAAAAAAAAACGTTAGATCATGGATACTGTTAAAAATTAAAATACGTAAAGGAAAAATAAATTACTTACCAGTACATTTGTTGTTTTTCGTGTTGCATCTTTTATCATTAGGGCAGTCAAAGTCATCTACACATTCAACTTTGAAACAACCAATTTTTTTATCCAAAGGATTACCTAAGTATCCTTTTTCACAGGTGCATGTCATACGATGCCTGTTTACTGAACAAACAGCATTTACTCCGCAGGCATTGTTGTCGCAGGGGTTAGAGCACTTTCCCTTTATACATGCAAGAGAATCTTCGCATTGTAAATCACGTCTGCATTGATTTGGTAACATGCAACCAGTGTTATAAGGATCGCCTATCGATCCCGTGGAACATACACACTTATACGAGCCTTGGGAATCAACACATTGTGCTGATGGGTGGCAAGGATTATTGACACATTCATCTATATTTACACATTCGTTATTAACTAGTTTAAATCCACTTGTACATGTACATTCCTTTGTCTGGCAAATTTGATTATTTAGGCAGTCGGAATCAGTCTTGCAACCGGGAATACATACACCAGAGTTACAATGCTCACCGTGTAAGCAGTTGCTACTGGAATGGCATATTTTATGACATATGTTATCGCTGCATTTTTCGCCCATAGCACATCCAGTATTATCTTGACAAGGAACCTGGCACAAGTTTCCGATACACATATGATCCGGAGGACAATTAGAAGTCCGAGAACAAGTAGAAGGTTTTCTGACACACCCTTGCTGTGGTAATGGTGTTCCTTCAAATCCAGGAGGACATTCACACTTAACGGCATGATTTTCTCTAGAACAAATAGCATTTGGTCCACAAGATCTCGCACCAAGACAAGGGTTTACACATTTGTTGTTTAGGCATGCTTCATCTTCAATGCAATCATCGTTGCTTCTACATCCTATTAAGCACTGCGCTCCAACACAGGCTTGTCCGATCGCACACTGAGTATGAGTGTTACATTGTGTTATGCACAAGTTCTTAATGCACGCATCACCTGCATCGCAGTGACTAGAGTTTTTACAAGCCGCGAAACATTGTCCATTGACGCAGGTGTCTCCTTCACAGTCATTTTCATTAAGGCATGCTAACAATTTTTTCTTGCAAGAATTATCATTTTTAGATTTTTCATATCCATCGGCACACGTACAAATAGGTTTTCTATTGACAATTTTGCAAATAGAATTTGTTCCACAGGCGCCATCGCACAGATTTACGCAACGGTTGTTTACGCAAGTTGCTTCAGGAGGACAATCTTGATATCCGTTTGTGCATTGATTTTGCTTTTTACAGCCTGTTTTCTTTGGATCTCCAACATAACCAACAGGACATTTACAGGTGTACGATGAAAGCCCCGGTTCACATATAGCTGTTGGGTGACAAGGGTTAGGATTACATAATTCTATTTTTCTACAGTTCACCTCAGGGATAGGATATGCTTTATATCCATTAGGGCATAAACAATTAACTTTATGATCTTCGGCTATGCACACTGCGTTATCGCCACAGGAGTCATTTCGGCATGCACCATTACAAGTGTGAGTCAAACGATTGCACAATTCATGTGACAAGCAATCAGCGTTATAAATACAAGGAACAGATTGGCATCCCTTTACTAAGTCATCGGCGTTGCCTGTATAGGGCCCTGATGGACATTGGCATTTGGCTACGTGATTATTTGTAATGCAAATCGCATTTGGTCCACAAATTAATTGTTGGCATGCCGACACACATTTCTTTACATTTCCGACATTTTTGCATATTTCACTCTCTCTACATTGCACATCATCTGTACATTGGTTTTTATCTAACGCTATACATCCGTCACGATCATTCGGATTTCCTACATAACCGTCCAAGCATTGGCATTGCGTTTTGTGATTGCTGGTAACACATTTCGAGTTTTGTGGACATGTAAATATTGAGCAATGATCTACACATTTTTTAACACCAAGTACGTCTTTTTCACACGATTTATTGTCATCACAGTCATTATCATTTCTGCAGCTTGGTGTCGACGGTTGTTCACAGCTGGAGCTAACAGGGTTCCACAAATAGCCTTCTTTACAATCACATCGTGCTGTGTTATTCAGTACATTACAGATTTCATCGGCGCTACAAGCGACAGTTGTACAAAGATCTAAACATTTCATCATTCCCCCAACAGGAACGCATACCTGTGGCTCCTTGCAGTCGCTATTTATGCTACATTCAACTTCTTTTGGCTTTTGTTGCAAATGACAACCAGATTTAATATCATTAGGCTTCCCAACGTAGCCTTCTGTACAAATACAATGGGCTTGATGATTTGCACTAACGCATAGAGAATTAGGTCCACATTGTAATTTACTGCACGAGTCGACACATTTACGTACATTTCTACTTATTTGAAAGCAAATTTCATTATCTTTGCAATCTCCGTCAGTTACACACTTACTATCAAAAGCACAGCCCTGTTGTATATCACTTGGATTTCCAATATATCCTGGAAGACACACGCATTGTCCTTCTTCACAAATAGCATTTTGACCACATACAGTTTTGCGACATTTGTCGACGCATAAAGATTTTTCACAGTAAAAGCCATCCGGGCAGGTATTATTATGGGAACAAGTACATACATTTCCCTCGACACATTTTGAAATTGCTACTTGTGTACATAGCTCATATGGATTTCCGAAATGATGGCTTTTGCAAATACAACTGAAACTGCCAGGAGTGTTTATACAAATTGCATTTTCACCGCACGGCTTTGATTGGCATTCATCTATATCAATGCATTGTAAATTTGGGTTTCCAATGTAACCAGGAGGACAAAGACATTCGATATGTGATTTAGTTTGCTGACAAACTGCATTCAGTCCGCACGATGTTTTTGCGCAAGTTATTTGCCTTCTGGGTAAACATTTGGAGTACGGGTTCCCAGTATATCCTTTATCACATTTACATAAATTGATCGGTCCGTAAACGCAATGAGCGTTTTCACTACAACCAGGATCACAAGCAGGGGGAGCAACAGCTGAAAAATAAATTAAGATTAGTCCCTGCTGCAATTAAATTAAAATATTTCAATTAGAAACTTTCAAAGTACTTACGAGGCATACAAAGTAAATCAGGATTTCCTACAAAGAATGCGTTACAAACACATCTGCCGCTCTCTTCGTCGCAAGATGCTCCAACGCCACAAACAACATTTTCGCAGCGCTGTCGACATCTTCCCGCGAGGCATGTGAAAGGACCTTCGCACGGTATTCCAGGACCACATACGTCTCTTCTACAACCACCTCCGGGAAAGGGATTTCCGACCATGCCCTCGGGACAAACACATGTGGGACCATTTTTCGATATTATACATTGAGCGGCTGTACCACAAGAATAGTTATCGCAACCTAAAACAACATTAAAAATATAAGTCAATTTTAAGATTTCATAATGAATATACTTCTAATTATTTTAAAATGATTTTCTTACCAGAAATGCATTTGCCACCTTCTGGCTTTGTATAGCCTGGATTACATCTGCACCAGGCCGCATGATCGTCCACTTCACAGAAAGCATTCGCACCGCAAGTGACGCTTAAGCACGGAGACAAACAAGTGCGGTTCAAACAAGCTAGGTTGTTGGGACATTCATTATCTGAACTACATAATTGTTTTGGTGATGTACCAATTCCAAAAGAACCTAAAATATAAAGTTACTTAGTCAATTTAGGATATCAATATTTTTGACAATTGAAATAGAATTTTTATGAATACATACATCCTGTTTTGTAAGGATCCCCAACCATGTTCGCAGGACATACACACTGATATCCACCTTTTTGATCATGACAAATGGCACCGTACCCACACGGAGAGCTATGGCATTCGTTTCTATTGGTGCAGCCAGTGTATGGGTCTCCTTCATATCCCGTCATACACATACATTTTGGAGGATCGCTAGGCGTACATTTTGCGTTAATGCCGCAAGTGAATCTTTCACAAGGACTTTTACATTTTTGGCCATCTTCAATGTCTAAGTAAAAAGGTGGTGGACAAATACATTGTCCCGGTTGTATACATTTTTCATTTGAGAAACAGTCGGAATCGCTTATACATCTCTTTTGGTTTATGGTACAATGACCAGATATTGTGTCTTGGCCATAACCTGGTGGGCATTTGCATTTATATGAGCCCATAGTATTAATACATTCCGCTCCAAAACCACAAACAGGTTGTCCAGACAAACATTCGTTTACGTCTTCGCAAGCACCTTCACTAGTTTGTGAGAAACCAGAAGGACATGCACAATAGCTTACGGTATCAGATATAATTATGCATTCTGCGCCTTTGCCACATGTGTTTCCTTTTGCACAATCCGACAACACACAGTTGTTGTCGACAACTTTATATGGTGGGTGACATCTACAACTGACGTCATCGCATAGTTCACAGAGAGTGTAAGGATTTCCACTATATTCCGTAGGACACTTGCACTCATAGCTACCAGGTAAATTTTTGCAAATAGCGTTAAATCCACAAGGTGAATGGCCGTATAAAGTACATTCGTTAACATCTTCACATAACCCAGTTTCTTTGTTGCGTGTGAAACCTTGCGAACATACACAAACGTTTTCACCATCATGAGTGATACATGTTTCACCCTGGGGGCACGGATTAATATTACTGCATTCGCTTGGCTGTTTACTCGAAACGCATCCATCGACGTAAGGATCTCCAACAAATCTACCAGGACATTCACATTGAAAATGTCCAGGAAGGTTTTTACACACAGCTCCAAAGGCACAAGGGTTCGCATCACAATCGTTAACATCTTGACAACCAACGTGAGAGTTTGGATCTCCTTTGAATCCGGTGCGGCATGTGCATTGCGCTATTTGGTCATTTAATAAACATTCTGAATTACTTCCACATTGCAAACTCTCACACGGATCTGTAAAAAAATGCAATTAACGGAGTAATTTAAAGAAAAAAAAGCCTCAAAGAACAATAACATGTTATTAAATACTTACGACGACAATCATTACCAACGTTAGGTTCAGGACATACGCATCTAGCATTTGAATCGCACACAGAATTTCCTGGACAATCACTGTCGCCTTTACATGTCAGAATTTCCGAACATCTCACGCGTGGATCTGGGTCGGGCACAGTACCCTCCGGACATTCGCAATCGTAGGTACCCAGTTTATTTATGCACTCAGCGTTTGCGCCACATGCATCATCCGTCTGACATTCGTCAACATCGAAACATTCTTTAAATGCATCACCAGAAAATCCATCAGGACATTGACAAGAATAACTTCCTAATGTATTTGTACAACGTGCGTTAGGTCCACAGCGTCCTACCGGTCCCACGGACGCATCACATTCGTCGATATCCACGCAACCGGCTGATATATCTGTAGGAATAAATGTCCAGCCTTCTTCGCACACGCAATAAGCTTCTATGCCATTTGGTTTACAATATGAGTGATCGCCGCATTTAACATCATCACACGGAGCTCGGCAAGGTATTGTAGGTGGTGATCCAACAAATCCATTGACACATTCGCATTTATAACCACCGAGCGTGTTGACACATAAACTGTTTTCTCCACAAATTGATACATTTGAACATTCATCGACATCGATGCAGACAGCTCCTTTGGCGTTGAATCCTTCTTTACAAAAACATTGATTGTCAATACATTCAGCATTATTTGTGCAGTCAAAGTTTGATTTACATAGTATGTTCACGTCGACCTGCCAAATATAAAAATTAGTTATTAAAAGATTATTTCTTATTCAAGCATAAAGTTATTAAACATTGCGTACCTGCTCGCACGCTATTTTGGCGTCCGGTTTAGCTCTATATCCTTGTGGACACACACAGTTATATCCGGGAGAAGCGTTTTCACAAAGTGCCTGTGAGCCACAAGGATGCTCGAGGACAGAACACTCATCGACATCTGTGCAGCCGTCGGGGGAGCGCGGGTCGCCGGTGTACTCGGGCTTGCATGTACAAACGAAGCTTCCAATGGTGTTCGTACATACGGCGTGCGCTCCGCATATATTTTCTCTACTTCTACATTCATCTACGTCTGGTGTAACAAACAACTCACGTCTAATTATCCGCCGCCTTCTCGAATAAAACACAATACGTACGTAATATGCATCCAACAGCCACTACGAAGAGGAAAAGACAGGCACACAGAAATTTGTAAAGAACAAGAAAAAACGTAACCGAGAAATAATAGTAAATTATATT